TAGCCAACTGTGGACTAGTATCTGCTGTGTTAACACCTACCTTTAATGACTATAGCCAACTGTGGACTAGTATCTGCTGTGTTAACACCTACCCTTAAGGACTTTAGCCAACTGTGGACTAGTATCTGCTGTGTTAACACCTACCTTTAACGACAATAGCCAACTGTGGACTAGTATCTGCTGTGTTAACCCCTCCCCTTAAGGACTTTAGCCAACTGTGGACTAGTATCTGCTGTGTTAACACCTACCTTTAATGACTATAGCCAACTGTGGACTAGTATCTGCTGAGTTAACACCTACCTTTAATGAATATTGCCAACTTTGTACTAGTATCTGCTGTGTTAACACCTACCTTTAAGGACTATAGCCAACTGTGGACTAGTATCTGTCGTGTTAACACCTACCTTTAAGGACTATAGCCAACTGTGGACTAGTTGCTGTGTTAACACCTACCTTTAACGACTATAGCCAACTGTGGATTAGTATCTGCTGTGTTAACACCTACCTTTTACGACTATAGCCAACTGTGGACTAGTATCTGCCGTGTTAACACCTACCTTTAATGACTATAGCCAACTGTGGATTAGTATCTGCTGTATTAACACCTAGCTTTAATGACTATAGCCAACTGTGGATTAGTATCTGCTGTATTAACACCTAGCTTTAATGACTAGAGCCAACTGTGGATTAGTATCTGCTGTGTTAACCCCTACCTTTAATGACTATAGCCAACTGTGGACTAGTATCTGTCGTGTTACCACCTACCTTTAATGACTATAGCCAACTGTGGACTAGTATCTGCTGTGTTAACACCTACCTTTAACGACTATAGCCAACTGTGGACTAGTATCTGCTGCCTCAGACTCTTTTTTTTTAGGCTGTGACCGTTTGAAATAACCAGCCAAACGGTTTGTATCCCTCTTCAGAACATAAACGTCTCTTATTTTATTTTGTTTTTCTTGAATTTCATCAAATATTTGGTTTTCCTTTTCTCTGAATAGCTGATGTTCCCTCCAGATAATTGCCTCTTTGATTGCTGCCTGTAAAGTAGGACATAAGTAGGACAAAAGTAGGACAACACTATTAAAAATTACATGATCTTCCTGTTTGATATGATAAATGATAAATCAGGATAAAATAGTAGGTTTTGAGTAAAAGGATGCTGTCTCAATGCTTATCACATAATGTACTGTACATGTGTTATCCGGTGAATATACATGTAATATTTGTTTGCCTATTAACCCATGTAATATGACCTATCAGCCCTGTGATTGGTTGATGTTGATGTTGATTTAGTAGAATAAGACAGGATTTTGCTGTGAAAAATGCTGCGAATAAAACCTCTCTTATTTTAACCTCAATTCCCTTAAAATGATTGTAAAACTCACAGATTGGTCTCCAAGAATTCTGGCATGTATGCATAAAATTTATGAAACTCATTTTCATTTTAGCTCCCCAGAGGCTCGTTAAATTAGACTCATTTCATAAATCTCGTATGAAATGGAAACTCATGTTCATGGCTATTTGATTTAGGCATAATCATTAAAATATAATGATAAGAATGTTGTGTATTATATAAAGACTTGTGACCAATATGAACCAAATACCGTTATATGTATATGGACAAAGTAAACAACAGTAAATGTAATGAAGTCCTGGTAACAGTGTAATTAGATCAGTGAAATATTAGTCAGACTTATTAGGTCCAGGTTACATAAAACAGTGTAATGTTCGTCCCTGTAACAGGAATCAGTGTAATAAGGTCCAGGTAACATGAATCAGTATAATTTGGTCCAGGTAACATGAATCAGTGTTATTAGGTCCAGGTAACATGAATCAGTGTAATAAGGTCCAGGTAACATGAATCAGTGTAATTTGGTCCCTGTAACATGAATCAGTGTTATTAGGTCCAGGTAACATGAATCAGCGTAATTTGGTCCAGGTAACATGAATCAGTGTAAAGAGGTCTGGGAACCTTTGTCAGAATAAATAGGTCCAGGTTCAGTGGTTTAATTTCAAGGGGCTAATATCTCGGGGTTGTCCTTATTAGAACGTTTTGGCAGGGATTTAATTTCATGCAACATTGCCAGTTAAAAATACTGCACTCAAGAGGGTACTTCAAAAAAATTGTATCAAATCTAATATCAAAATAACATAAAATACCATACTGAACAGGTGTTATCTTTTCATTATTTGGCAGTAAAAGGGTAAACAGGTTCTTTTATCTATGTATTTTCATGGTACAATGAATTAATATTTGCTTGGTATTTCGATTCACTCTTTCCTTGGAGACTGCGAATATAGCAAAATTAACTCCCCTGCGAAAAGTTAGCAACTCTGCAGTAGGTCCAGGTAACGTAGGTCAGTGTAACAAAGACTGGGAAACATAAGCCTAACCTCACTAACATTACATATTCTCTCTTTATTTAAAGTGTTTGCTGATAACTTGTGTTCTGAGTACAGCATGAAATCTTTACCTCCGAGGCAGCCTGAAGTATCTCACTTCCTGCAGATGGTAGTTCCTTCCAGCCTGTGATCTCCACAGGTGTGGCTGGTGGTGCCTCTTTTAAAGGTTTTCTATTTTCATCAAACATCTGTCGAACCTAATATTGAATATATCAATAACAAGACAATTTCATTTGCTGTGACTGGTGTTAGGTTTTTAACATGTGGTATTTTTTCTATTCTTAGTGACAGTGACCTTTTAGCTCACCCCTCCCCTTGCCCTTCCCTAAAAGAAAATTAAAAACAAAATAGGAATTTTCTCCAATGACACGTGTGAAGGTTGAAAGCAATCAGGATATTAGAACCTGTCATCTAGAAATAAACTAGAGGATGTGCCTCTCATTACAGGGTCCTAGTTACATCTATGTTAAACACTTATCTGACTCGCTTGGTAATTATACAGCTACTGACTACTACATACTATATGGGGTATCAAGCTAGACCTGGCTATACTGGTGCTCCTTCACAGATCAGTGTACCAGTTCTACCACACGGACTTACCTTGGCCCAGGCTGTGCCAGCAATGAGAAGGTCTCCTTTCCTTAACGTCCCCCTCTCTATTACAGCAGTCACCAACCTCCTGGAAAGATTTACTGAGTATTGAGCCAGTAGAATGTGACTGCACTTCAAGTGACCAAGGGTATAGTATCAATAAAATCATGAGTTTGTTTTAAACATTTTTAAGTGATTTAGTGTGAATTTCACTTCCTTGTGCAAAATTATAACATGCATTGTTTCTAATCAAGATTTGCAATCCTAACAGCTAAACGTAATGTAAGAAAGTAAATTTCAATACTGAACTAAAGTAACATATATACACTATGTCAGATTCTGATTATAAAGTTACCTTAATAGTCCTGGATCAACCTGTTAGACCATCTATCAACACCAGTAGTGGCACCTATGATATTTCCAACAACACCACGGCCAGTGCAGATGTCTTAACCTCTATCATAACACCTTAAACATCCGACTCCCTACCTTGTCCTGTAACCATTGATATCTTACCCTCTTCAATGTGACCTCTGCCTCCTTACCCTCTACAATGTGACCTCTGACATCTTACCCTCTACAATAACCTTTGACACCTTACCCTCAACCATGTAACCTCTGACATAATATCCCCTACTCTGTTACCTCTGACATCTTACCATCTACAATGTAACCTCTGACATCTTACCCTCAACCATGTAACCTCTGACATCTGACCCCCTACTCTGAAACCTCTGACATCTAACCCTTTACAATGTAACCTCTGACATCTTACTCTCTTCATTGTAACCATTGACATTTTACCCTCTACAATATAACCTCTGACACCTTACCCTCTACAGTGTAACCCTGACATATTACCCTCTACAATGTAACCTCTGATATCTTACCCTCTACAATGTAACCTCCGACATCTAACCCTCTACAATGTAACCTCTGACATATTACCCTCTACAATGTAACCTCTGATATCTTACCCTCTACAATGTAACCTCTGACATCTTACCCTCTACAATGTAACCTCTGACATCTTACCCTCTACAATGTAACCTCTGACATCTTACCCTCTACAATGTAACCTCTGACATCTTACCCTCTACAATGTAACCTCTGACATCTTACCCTCTACAATGTAACCTCTGACATCTTACCCTCTACAATGTAACCTCTGACATCTTACCCTCTACAATGTAACCTCTGACATCTTACCCTCTACAATGTAACCTCTGACATCTTACCCTCTACAATGTAACCTCTGACATCTTACCCTCTACAATGTAACCTCTGACATCTTACCCTCTACAATGTAACCTCTGACATCTTACCCTCTACAATGTAACCTCTGACATCTTACCCTCTACAATGTAACCTCTGACATCTTACCCTCTACAATGTAACCTCTGACATCTTACCCTCTACAATGTAACCTCTGACATCTTACCCTCTACAATGTAACCTCTGACATCTTACCCTCTACAATGTAACCTCTGACATCTTACCATCTACAATGTAACTTCTGACATCTTACCCTCTACAATGTAACCTCTGACATCTTACCATCTACAATGTAACCTCTGACATCTAACCCTCTACAATGTAACCTCTGACATATTACCATCTACAATGTAACCTCTGACATATTACCATCTACAATGTAACCTCTGACATCTTACCCTCTACAATGTAACCCCTGGCATCTTACCCTTTACAATGTAACCCCTGACACCTTACCCTCTACAGTGTAACCTGACATCTTACTCTCTACAATGTAACCTCTGACACCTTACCCTCTACAATGTAACCCCTGACATCTTACCCTCTACAATGTAACCTCTGACATATTACCCTCTTCAATGTAACCTCTACCACAACATGTTTGACATTCTACCCTCTACCGTGACACAATCTCTGACATCTGACACTCTACCGTGACACAACCTCTGACATCTTACCCTCTACCGTGACACAACCTCTGACATCTTACCCTCTACTGTGACACAACCTCTGACATCTTACCCTAGCTCTACTGTGACACAACATCTGACATTCTACCCTCTACTGTGACACAACCTCTGACATCTTACCCTCTATCACAACATGTTTGACATCTTACCCTCTACCATGAAACAACCTCTGACATCTTACCCTCTACTGTGACACAACCTCTGACATTCTACCCTCTATCACAACATGTTTGACATCTTACCCTCTACCGTGACACAACCTCTGACATCTTAACCTCTACCGTGAAACAACCTCTGACATCTTACCCTCTACTGTGACACAACCTCTGAAATCTTACCCTCTACTGTGACACAACCTCTGACATCTTACCCTCTACCAACATCAGTACTGGATTCTATGACGTGACCGTGGACCTTTCCGACAGGGTCAGCCTTAAGCTCCATGATTTCAGCTTGTGTGACTATTGCCTCCCGAAGTTTTTCAAGATTTGTTCCCTGCAAAGGAAAAACATTGATTCAGCCATCATTGAGTCTTTATAGTTTGATGTAAGTGTGACATTTTGCCATGCCAAGATTTTCTAGCCTAAAAACTTTTGTGGGGATCCAAAATCAGCTAGCACCAGTTAATGGCTCTAGTATATATGTCCTGTCATTATATTTAGCAATACAAATTAAGTGACTTCTATATGAAATAACCAACTTCTTCCTATGTCCTTACTTGTTAAACATACTTGTAATTGGATAAACAACCAAATAGAGTAAGAGAATGAAGTACCAGATAGATTTTGGTGATCCCAAATAAAACAAGAGAAACTGTGAGCAACCATGCATAGATAAACCTGTGTATCATCTTATCAAGTCATTCAAACTTTGTTTGCAGTGGTTATAATACCTGAATCATAAATCCCTTTCTCTATACATAACAAGAGCTGTTGGAGAACAGCATAGCTCGCCTATGTATGTTATTATAATACTGCAACAATCAATAGAAACACATGCATAGTAAAACGTTGATATAGTGCCTGTCATATTATTTGCCACCTCACTTACCAACAGGATATTTCAAGGACCGTTATTTGTGTTTTTCTGAAGAATTCCTTTATATGTTTCCCTCAATTTATTGTTAAACATTTTATAATGGCAACATGTCTTTGCAGTGTACCTTAACATATACATTCAAAAATAACAGATGAATATATGAAAATATGGTTCAACATATTGCTTACACTCAATACAAATACTTCAACCTTATCAAAGACAACAGCCTATTGATGGTGGTGGTCCAACACTAACCAAAAGAACTTGCCCAAAAACTTTAACTTAAGCTTAAGCTTACCAAAAACAAAAATCAAGTCCAATGAAGCTGTTTTTGGCCCCTAAAATATGAAAATATGGTCCAGAACATTGCTAACACTCCATATAAATACTTCAGCCTTATAATAGACAACAGCCTATTGATGGTGGTTGTCAAACACTTCGCCAAAAAACTTGCCCAAAACTTTAACCTCAAATTTAACTAAGTGCAATTAAGCTGTTTTTGGCCCCTAAAATATAAAAATATGGTCCAGCACACTCCTTACACTTGATATAAATGACTTAAACTCATAATAGACAATGGTGTATTGAGTGTGATGATCCAACACTGTCTGGAAAAAACTTGCCCAAAAACTTTCACCTCCCAAGGTGGGACACCGACGCTGGGGTGACTACATTAGCCCCCCTATTCTTCGATTGGCGAGCTAAAAATGCAACAAATGGTCTAAAATAGGTTGTGCTGACAAGGTTCACGGACAGAGGGACATACAGGGTGATTCTTATCCCTCCCAAACTTTGCCTTCAGGGGATATACTTACCACACAGAAATGTTCCAGACAAGCAGCAACATTATGCTACCCAGAACTATAATAAGCAGTAATGTAACTGGTTACCTTATGGTCAGATATAGGTTTCTTTGGCATATCCCAGTTGCATAGTTCACGTAGCACATAAACAAACGCACTAGGACCAAAACCATGCCTACCTGATCTAAATATAAACAGTTTATGAGTTTTGGCCAGGTGTGTCTGGACCCCATGATATGAATGAGCCGAATTTTCCACAGTTCAACCTGGGTCTCCATTTGTGCCTGTTTTCTTTAGGGTTCAGCAAATTGGAAATATTGAACTGATCCACGAAAATGACCATAAGGTTCTAACTGCACAGCTATCAACATGTCAGATACTGGCACGGCCTCAACATTGTCTTACCTCAATACCAGATATTGGCACGGCCTCAACATTGTCTCATCAATACCAGACACTGGCACGGTCTCAATATTGTCTTACCTCAATACCAGATACTGGCACGGCCTGAACATTGTCTTACCTCAGTACCAGATAATGGCACGGCCTCAACATTGACTTACCTCAATACCAGACGCTGGCACGGCCTCAACATTTTCTTACCTCAATACCAGGCACTGGCACGGCCTCAAGATTGTCTTACCACAATGCCAGATACTGGCACGGCTTCAACATTGTCTTACCTAAATACCAGACACTGGCAGGGCCTCAACATTGTCTTAGCTCAATACCAGTCACTGGCACTGCCTCAACCTTGTCTTACTTCAATACCAGATAATGGCACGGCCTCAACATTTTCTTACCTCAATACCAGGCACTGGCACTGCCTCAACCTTGTCTTACTTCAATACCAGACACTGGAACGGCCTCAACATTGTCTAATCAATACCAGACACTGGCGCGGCCACAACATTGTCTTACCTTTAATACCAGATACTGGCACGGTCACAACACTGTCTTACCTCAATGCCAGATACTGGCACGGCTTCAACATTGTCTTACCTAAATACCAGATACTGGCACACCATAAGGTTCTAACTGCACAGCTATCACCATGTCAGATACTGGCACGGCCACAAAATTGTCTTACCTCAATAGCAGACACTGGCACGGTCTCAATATTGTCTTTCCTCAATTCCAGATACTGGCACGGCCTCATCTTTGTCTTACCTCAATACCATATACTGGCACGGCCTCACCATTGTCTTACCCCAATACCAGATACTGGCACGGCTTCAACATTGTCTTACCTGAATACCAGATACTGGCACGGCTTCAACATTGTCTTACCTCAATAACAGATACTGGAACGGCCTCAACATTGTCTCCTCAATACCAGACACTGTCATGGCCTCAACATTGTCTTTCTTCAATACCAGAAACTGGCACGGCCTCAACGTTGTCTTACCTCAATACCAAACCCTGGTACGGCCTCAGCATTGTCGTACTTCAATCCCAGATACTGGCCAGCCTCAACATTGTCTTGCCTCAATACCAGATACTGGCGCTGCCACAACATTGTCTTACTTCAATCCCAGAAACTGGCACGGCCTAAACATTGTCTCATCAATACCAGACCCTGGCACGGTCTCAATATTGTCTTACCTAAATACCAGACACTGGCACGGCCTCAACATTGTCTTACCTCAATACCAGTCACTGGCACTGCCTCAACATTGTCTTACTTCAATACCAGATACTGGCACGGCCTCAACATTGTCTTACCTCAATACCAGACACTGGCACGGCCTCAACATTGTCTTACCTCAATACCAAACACTGGTACGGCCTCAGCATTGTCGTACTTCAATACCAGATACTGGCACGGCCTCAACATTGTCTTACCTCAATACCAGACACTGGCACGGCCTCAACATTGTCTTACCTGAATAGCAGACACTGGAATGGCTTGTACATCACCTCCAAAATCTTCAACGGCTATTCCATATTGAAGCAGCATTTTTTTGGTACCTTCCTGTAGAGTAAAATTGTGTTTACCGGTAAGCGTGATTAATATAAGTTGAAATAATTTGTTTCTTATTTGTAGTAAGATAAATTAAGTTTTCATCATTATTAGAGTAAAATTATAGTACTATTGTCCAGGTGTCACACACAGACAACTTACAAAAATCCATTCACGACAGAAAAAAACATTATAATAAGCAAGGTCCCAAATTTCACCATATCATGAAAAAAAGTATTTTTTACTTAGTTTATTAAGACAAAAAATTGGTACATGCAAAAAATATAATAAGAGGGTTATTATAATATCCGTTATCATAAGTGGGTTGTATACTGTGTTGACATTACAGCCTTATATATAGATACTCCTAAATGGTGAATGATATACATATGAGTATGTAGTTATGTTAGATGGATAAAGGTTTATGTTCATAAACATATACTTGTACCCAATATACATGTTTGTACAGTCTTACAAGATATCATATTATTCTAGAATATATTTTGACTTTTACATTTTTATTGAAATATTTTTGTACCTTTAGTTTTTTGTTCCCTTATCATGGTAATAACAATTTGTTTATTACCACGGTATGTTAGCCCCATTAGAGAGCCCTTGAGTTAATGGATCATTGACATTTAAACCAAGTTCCTCTTTTATTAATTACATAATCAGTATCTACAGTAAAGATACTTACAACATCAGCTGTAGGTTTGTCTATCTTGTTAATAGCAACAATGATTGGTACTGAAAATAAATATCAACGTGTAAGCTAGCTCAAATCAATTGTGAATAGGGGTAACAATTACACCAAATTTATATGGATGCATATACAAGTAACTTATTGCAGATGAAAAAATGTATTAATGATTGAAAGATTTCAATATATGAAAAAGATATGAACACAGTGATGTCTTAACAAAATTTCAAAGGATATGACCTGTACAGAATATTTTTGATGTAAAGTAATACATATGTTGCATTAATTTTGTCTATCCTTTCTACATGCTGACCATGTGTTATAATCTAAATGGTATTATTTGATGCAAAGCAAAGATCGTTGATACAAGGCTGTTTTTGTTTAAATGGCCAAACCGGTCAGACCGCAGTTGTTCATTTATTAAATAAGGTCGGACCTAGTTATCTGATGCTGCTTTCAGGCGAGCCTTGACAAAGCCTTGCAAGGTCTGCATAAACATTTGCAGGTCCGCCAGGATTTATATCCGAAATTGTTACATTTAAAAAACGGACAAACCGGTTGTTCCGCATAAACAAACGGGCCCAATTTCTATAAGTTTGGTAAAAAGTATAAAAATATGGCCATTAAGCATTAATTCACTCAAATATATTTTATATAAATCTACATTGATTTGAATTCCAATCAAAATTTACAAATATAAATATCCAAACATGGTCAATTCAATTTTCTATTTCTCTATACAGGTTATCACCTAATTAGCTGATGAGACTACTTTTTGCTATTCAATTACAAACAGATTTTGTTCAAATTCCAACTCAGCTCCATCTTTGTATAACAGAGTATCAATGTATCAAATAGTGTTAATCAATCAGTGCACAGTTTGCTTATTAATAAGGCACACATTTCACTCAAAATCAAACCAAGCCTTAATCTCTGTGCTCTGTACATCCTCACAAACTTTGATCAAAGTTGTATGAATTTCGTTACTGTATGGAGATATAAAATGAATGGACAGGTAAACAGACAATGTGGTTGCTGTAATCATCGTATAAACGAAACCTTTTAACACAGAAGGCAGTATATTTTCATGCTTCAGTTAGCTAGCATTAACAGGATTTACTTAATACTATTCCTTTCGACATTAGGTGTGAATACCTACCTCCTGC